CAGTGAATAGAAACCGTCAACTGATGCACAAAATATGCAGAAATCAAAACAACAACAATAACAACAAAAACAGAAGAAGAATTATTAAGTGTGAAATTCAAAACTCAGTGCCGCCTTTACGCGCCAGATGCAATAAAACAGCTGCATAAATACACCTGTGCTGTGCCGGGGCCCCAGTGTCATTTGGCTGCAAATTTATATACCGTTCGACAATTGAGAAGGACATCATTTATTTTTGATTTTTAGATAGCAAGGTTTTTGTTTCATCTTTGCGAAGATATTTGTTATTGGATTATTTGCAATTTTAAGATATTTCTTCTTTGGCATTTAATCTTTCTTTATAGCACTTTTATGCCCTCCACCATGGTAGGAGGGTACCATAAATTAGTTACTGCATTTGTAACACCTCACCATAATTATATGTGCCCACGTTTTATACCCTCCACCATACTGTGGAGGGTATATTTATTTTGTCATTCCGTTTGTAACTCCTCGAAATACTCATGTAAGACCCAACATAGTATATATATTCTTGATCAACGTAAAATTCTATGTCGATTTAACGATGTCCGTCTGTCCATCTGTCTGTCTGTTGTAATCACGCTATCTTTCGAACGAATCGAGATAGAAGGCTAAATTTTTGCAGGGAGGTTAAGTTCGTAATGGACCATGTATGTCCACGTTTTCATATAGCCCCCATATAACGGTACCTCCCGATATTCGGTATTTTAATGATTTTACCGACATTATTCAGTGGAATTGTTTCAAATTCGGTATTTGAAGTTCGTAATGGATACTACAGCCTATGACAGAAAATTGGTCCACGTCTTCCAATAGCCCCCATACAACGGTATCCCCCGATATTCGGTATTTTGATGATTTAAGCGACACTATTCACCGGAATTGTTTCAAATTTAGTATTTGAAGTTCGTAATGGATACTACAGCCTATGACAGAAATTTATCTATGCAGGTCCAGGTCTTCGTATAGCCCCCATATAACGGTACCTCCCTATATTCGGTATTTTGATGGTTTTAAAGACATTATTGACCGGAATAGTTTCAAATTCAGTTTTAGAAGTTCGTAATGGATACTACAGCCTATGACAGAAAATTGTCTGTGCAGGTCCAGGTCTTCGTATAGGCCCCATATATGAGTGCCTCCCTATATCCGGTATTTTGACGATTTTAGGTACAATAACCACTGAAATTGTTTGGGATGTCGTTTTTAAAGTTCGTAATGGATGATACAGCCTGTGACAGAAGAATGTCTATGCTGGTCCACGTCTTTGAATAGCCCCCATATAACGGTACCCCCCGATATTCGTTATTTTGGTGATTTAAGCGACACTATTCACCGGAATTGTTCCAACTTTGTTATTTGAAGTTGGTTATGGATACTACAGCCTATGACTGAAGTTATCTATGCAGGTCCAGGTCTTAGTATAGCCCCCATATAACGGTACCTCCCTATATTCGGTATTTTGATGATTTTAGCGACATTATTGACCGGAATTGTTTCAAATTCGGTATTTGAAGTTCGTAATGGATACTACAGCCTATGTCAGAAAATTGTCTGTGCAGGTCCACGTCTTCGTATAGCCCCCATATAACGGTACCTCCCTATATTCGCTATTTTGATATATTTTAGCGACTTTATTCACCGGAATTGTTTCACATTTGATATTTGAAGTTCCAAAGGGATACTACAGCCTAAGACAGAAAATTGTATTTTGATGATTTTAGCTACATTATTCACCGTTTATTCCAAGTTTCGTATTTGAATATGGTAATGGCTTATGACAACAATGCTTATGTAGGTCCACGTCGTATAGACCCCAATATAACGGCTATATTCGATATTTTTAAGATTTTAACAGAATTTTTAAGGGTTTTTTTTTTTTTTGAAAATTTCCAAATTCGTTCAAATGGTGGAGGGTATTCAAAGTTCGGCCTGGCCGAACTTACTGCTTTTTAATTTGTTGTTTTTAATCTGTTAATATCACAACAGATAACCAACCTTGTATCGGAAAATTTTATATGTAAAAATTAGCAAAATGTACGCTTTTGGGGCCCTGAATATCCGTTGTAACCCACGAAGAGCCATTAGTGCAACGACACACACTCCACGTGCCACAATCATCAACAAGCCTCAGACTCTTTCAGCTCTTAAAGATAATATCCGTCAAAAATGTGAGGGCATATCGCCGGAAATTCACAGAATCACTGATTGAGAACTGGATAGATGTGCCAAAGATTTTTGGAAATTCGAACTTGAAGGTTACGAAAAGTTCTAAAATGGTACTTAAATTCTAATAGGTGGTGATGTGAACGGATAGAGCTAAAAACTTGACATTTGGTATGAGAATCGAGGTTGGAAAGTAAGTTTGGTATATGAACGTGTTTTTGGAAATATGTGCTAAGTTTGCGAACTGTACTAAATTTGAAACATTTTGGTTTAGTATGAACGAATGAAGCTGGAATTTTGAAATTTTGTATTGACTAATGACAGAATTAGCTAAAAATTTGGAATGAGAGTCAATGATGGAAAGCAGGACAGACGTGTCAAATGGTCTTTGGAAATTCGAATTTGTACCAAAAATTCTAAAATGGTACTTAAATTCAAAAATAGTACCATTTGGTATTATGTGAACGGATAGATCTAAAAACTTGAAATTTGATATGAGAATCAAAGTTGTAAAGTAAGTTTGGTATATAAAGGTGTTTTTGGAAATGTATACTAAGCGTGCGAACTGTACTAAACGGTACTTAAATTGAAACAGTTTGGTTTAGGATAAATAGATGAAGCTGGAATTTTGAAATTTTGAATTGGGGTTCGTGTTGGAGGTATGTATGTGATAAAGTGGTAGTTTTGGAAATGTGTATAACAAGTGCACGAAAAGTACTAAATAGTACTATATTTGGTACAATTTTGTATTGGGTGAACAGATAGTACTTGAAATCGGAAATTTGGTATACATATAAAGGTGGCTTCGGAATGTGTATATTTGGTATGGGTGAAGATAAAATTCTGAAATTTGATTACTGATGGTATCTGTATTTGAGAAAGTATGAAATTTGGATACGAAAAGTATGAAATTTGGAGTTTTTGGTTGAAGGAATAGTGCTGTAATCCTGAAATTTGATATAATTGTCACTCTTGGTGTCTATAGTTATGGAAGTGGTTTTTGAATTGTGGACTATAATTGTTTGAAGAGTATTAAGTGGTAAAAATTGGGAATTGGGTGAAGGGATAGGACTGGAATTCCTGAATTTGATATTGTGGTCTATGTTAGTATCTGGAATTAAGATATTGAGGTGTTTTTGGAAATTTGTACTATAATTGTACGAAAAGTTCTAAATGGTACTAATTTCGGTTCACTATTTGTATCTAGGATGGAGAGATGCAGATTGTTTTGGATATGCGGGATAAGGGATGGAAATAAAATTCTGAAATTTGATATTAAGTTCATTGTAGGTTTCTAGGGTTTACAAATGTTGAAAAAGTTTTGGACTGAAAAATGTGGATCTATTATGCAAAGGTTTTAGTAATATCCTCCTCGGTAAACTTCAAAATGAACAATGTGGAAGAAGTTTTGAAGTTTTGATTTAAAAATTTGATAAAACTGAACAAATTGTGACGTTTTAGTACTAAAAGGCCTAACACGAATCTAAAATTTTAAGGCGGACTTTTCGCTTATGAAGTAGCGGCACTTACCAGTATATATGTACATAAATATATACTTGTATAACCGATAAAATGGCATATATCTGACGCAAACCAACTAATGATTCCTAACTTGTTACACCATATGGCTACAGAGGGTATATATCATTTGATACGTCCAAAACGTGCCTCATCGAAATAACGGTTTTAGACCCTAGGTCTCTTTGGACCAAATCCGTTTCATAACATTTGGAGAAGATCTAGCGATGTCCGTCCGTCCGCCTGTTTGTCTGGCTGGCTGGTGCGCACGATAACTCTCGAAGGGATTATCCGGTTTGATCCAAACTTGGTACATCGTAATATTTTTGTCAAACTTAGATTGAGTTCGGAGATGCGCAATATCGGTCAATATTTTCATCAACACAAGATCTGCTTTAAAGATGGTAGAGATCGGTCCACTCCTTCTGATACCTCCTAGAAATCGCACCATTTCTTCAACCTACATAGGGTTCAAGATTTTGAAAAACAAAATGCTCAAAGAAACCTAAATAACCAACCGAATCCATCCATCTCCTCAAATTTCCACAGACAAACATTTTTGCTAACATAAAATCTGTTGTGAAGATGAATACATCTGCCAACCCCTTCTGGTACCTCACCCACAAAGGACCAATACGTATATCTGTCATAACTTGCGAAACAAGTCTGCGATTCTTTACAACTCGCTATATCTAAATATTTATCTTAACCAGAAATCTGATATGAATATGTAATTTATCGGAATTTATGATTTCGCATAAAATTGGATATAAGTCTTCGATTTACTTCAAATTTTGCGCACACCAATATATTTATCGGTATTAGATGAAGTATGAAAATGGAATACTTCGGTCCGCTATATCTGTCACCTCATGCACATTTTCCAAAAATTGGCACATATCTCATATAAAGTATAGGAAGTAGTCGATATAGTCCAAATCTGTCACGTTGTAATATTTATATTAATCTTAGGTCAGATACGAATTGGTCAATTTTGGCCAACTTCTTTGGAACCTCCCCCATAAAGAGTCATCAGTTTGAATAATCATAAATCAAGGCAGGAAGTATATATTTGTCGGCAAAACTGACTGATACTATTTTACTTGACTCTATACAGATCGACAGTTCATTAATGTATCAGTTCTTATAAGATTGCCTTCAATGGATTCTTTATTGTATGATAATTATTACTTTCTCTCGCTACACATTTTCTTTTTCTATTATTTTTAAATTGTTTTTTTATTTGTAGTACAATTTCATATGTCATGTATTACTATTTTTTTTTTTCTTTCCAGATATAAGATATTTCTGTGATAATGTCAAATTCTCCAAGTACCGCCACAATGACAACAAATACCAACTCCTCATCATCACCATCGGCAGCATCTCCGCCATCAATGTTAGCTACTAAGAGAAGAAATATGAAATTCTCCAGAATGTATCCATTTGTGGCGAATACATATCGTGAAATACGAAAATACTTGTCTTCTATTAACAGCGACATGAATAGTGAGATATTAATAAGAATTGTTAATAAATTTAAGAGGTAAGTTAAAGTTTGTCATTTTCTGGATATTCTTTATAATTCGTTATTTCTTTATTTAGGGGCTGTTCTGATATATTTGATGCAGTTTTGGAAGACCCTGAATTGAGTAAAATGTTGGCAGCAACTATTGTTCGCGTATTGGATTTACTCAAAGATATGAGCAAAAGGTGCAATGATGTGAGTAATTTTGTATTTGATTAGCTGTTTGACCTTGGTCAAAAATATAAAGAGATTATACCTAGGATTGTATCTGGTAGATAGCAAATTGCAAATAAAGATGATGGAGATATATGGAACCATTTAGGGTTTATGTTTTCAAAGTAGGTTAGTCTGATAAGAAGGTTTCTATATCATATCTGCCTCCCCATCACCACACGGTCTGGCCTGCTATTAATCTTTCTAATATAGGTCCACACCTAATAAGAGATTAAGCCATCTGTTGTTCTAAGTAAATTCCACCACATCGTATATATAGATCATCTAACGTATTTCACTTACGCCAACTAAATCGATATTTAGTCTTCCACTCTGTGAGATGAGCAAGCTTACCTTTCACTATAAAAATCCTGTCTTTATTGTAATATCTATTTCTCTTGAATAGTGGAATCTCTTAATTTCAGCAGTCACAGTTGATTAGTCTCTAGAAGCTTTGCTCGGTGGCAGGTATTCTGCCTTTTACGATGTCGATGTAAAAGCCACATATAACTCGCCAAAACGTAACCCCCCTCCGAAATCGCTGTGTTGTCTGCTACAGTTTTTTTATTCGCAGCCTGTGGATGTGTTATGCAGCTCACGGCTATGCTCCCACAAGGGCGCAAAAAACACAGTCTACAATAGCCTATTCCACTCTCATCCAGTCGGCTGCTTAGACATACCAGGATATTTTTGAGGCAGTTGCGTTCAGGACGGTACGGTCATTTCAATTAGTATAGGGAACGCATTGACGGAGATGTGCATAATGTCTGCCCGGCGTACGATACAGGACATCACACAAAACGCTGCGCCTTTTCAATTGCCTTGCCAAACCTATCTCACTCCAGAAGACCCATGTCTACAGCACATAAAAGTATCCGAATTTTTCAATCTGAAGTAAACGAGGATGCCCTTACCTGAGAGAAGTAGTAGTTCGACGTATAAAAATAGTGTCACCCTGTCTGATAAATGACATGACTTGGCAAACCAGCAATCCATAATTTCTCTTGGGTCAGACCATCTCCCGTCTCCATAAGCAGATTTTATTGGGGGCAATCGCAAAATGTATAGTATTTTCTGATGGGAGGATCAGTATTGCACCACCTTGTATATATCCTACCACTTCTTATAGACCTTTTCACTTTAAATATTAAATCTAATTACCTCTCCACAATGTTAAATATGTATATCAACACCAATTAATTAAGAGGTCTATTATCATCAATGCCAGGTGATTTCTACAATTAGAAGTAGCTTTTTCTATATATAGAAATAATCGAAACCTGTTACTCTTATTATAAAAAATCCTAATCAAAACCTTATTCTTTCGACATATTCTCAAATCTTTCTGTGATTTTTCACGAATATTTATTTTAACTTTTTATTTTCAGTTAGAAGAATTTCATCATCGAGTGTGTGAACTCATAGCCTTCTATATAAGCTGTGAACTTAGAGCAAATTTGGAGTGTCAAGACGAAGACAATCTCTTAGATAATAGAATTGTTTATGTAATAAGAAGGCATTTGGCGCAAGAAGATGAGGTAAATTATATTAAAGAAACAATCATTTTCTATATAATAACGTGCTAAACTCCCTTTCAGAATGAAACACTACACAACATCTTGCGCACCCTGATTTATATACCTCGACTGTCCATACCCAACGACACAATGTGTGCCATCTTTGAGTAAGTTAGTTTTTCAAGAAATATTTACGATTTTTTCAAATTATTTATTGTTGCATTTTACAGAGAATTTATACCCCTCAAGACGCCACCGGAACCCAAACAATTACCTGATAAACTATATATGTTGTACATCATAATTTTCTATCGTTGGATGAAAATGCAAAGCGATGAAAGTGATCAGCAATTGATTATTAATTTTGCCGCCACTTTTATGAAACCCCAAGTTTCGTTGTGCACCAATCCGTTATATAGTCAGCATTTGCCCAAATATACACGTCACAGTCAGGCTACTCGCACAATTTTGAATCAAATGATATACTATAAAGATTTGAGAAATGTATGTATGGTTTACATTTTTATTGAAATTCTTGGGGTTATATTTATGTAAACGTTTCTTCTTACAGGCTTGTATCATTGATAATGCATTTAAGGTGACTGGAACAATTGTGGTAAGTTTTAATTTCTTATAGTTTTGAAACAGAGGAGAGTAATGATTTGAAAAATGGGAATATTAATATATTATATAGGTATGTTAAAGAGCGGATAGTTGTCTTGTGTTACAACTACTCTACTCGAAGTACATCCAGGTGAAGAAGTAAAATCAGAAAGGTTATATACTTAGCTATCGAAATTAAAAAAAAAGGAAGATCTGTAGTTTTAGTTTTTAGTAATTTTAAAGAGTACTTTTTCACAATGATGTGATTTCGTGACGTAGTAGCCACTAAAGCCTTCTGGCAAACTGAACTATCGGAAAAGGAGTTCAAATCTCGGATCTTCTGCTCTCCTATCAATCTAAATTCACTATTGAAAAAAAAATTCAACAGTGGCCCAAAAAGTGTTCTTTCTTAATCTTCACAATATCGTTGCCTCCTTCATTTTGAAACGATGGATCTTCTTTTATAGTGAGCTGTCATGATGCCTGCAACAAGTCTAATAACATTACGATGTACCAAGTTTGGATCAAATCGGATCAAACGGATTTCGCCCAAAGAGACCTAGGGTCTAAAACCGTTATTTCGACTAGGCACGTTTTGACCGTATCAAATGATATATACCCTCTCTAGCCATATGGCGGTGGGTATAAAAATATATTTTACTGCGCAGAAAGAGAAAGGATGATCCGATTTTTCTCCAACTTTGCAAATTCTAATATTTGCATCAGTGCGAGGTCAGGTTCGAAAATGGACAATATCGGTTCACTCCATCAAGAACCTCCCCCACAAAGGGTTAAATTTTTGAATAATTATAACTCTTATAAAATGTGAAAGTTACACACATTACAATATTTTTATTAACTCAATGTCTGGCGTGAAGATGGAATATATCGGTCCACTCCTTCTGGTACCTCTCCCACAAAGGGTCAAAATTTTAAGCGTCCATGAAGCTCATAAATCGCAAAATTACTCTCCGATTTTATTCAGACTTGGTACATCTCAATATTTCCATCAACACAAGATCTGTCATAAAGATGGTAGAGATCGAACTTTTTCTTCAGGTACCTCCCCTATAGTTCAAGATTTTGAAAAACAAAACGCTCAAGAAAGCATTTAACTTTCTTCGAATTTCACACATCCAAATATTTTTGCTAACGCAAGATGTGCTGTGAAGATAATATATATCTGCCAACCGCTTCTGGTACCTTACCCACAAAGGATCAAATTTTTCAATACTTGTATCTGTCATAACTTGCGAAACAATTCGGCAATTCTTTACAACTTGCTTTATCGAAATATTTCTCTTGACCAGAACTTTGATGTGAATATGTAATTTATTGGAATTTATGATTTCGCATATAAAGGTTCGATTTCCTTCAAATTTTGCACATTCCAATATTTTTATCTGCATTAGTTGAAGTATAAAAATTGTCCGCTATGTCTGTCACCTCCCGCATATTTCCACATTTTCCAAAAATGTGCACATATCTCATATGGAGTATAGGATTTAGTCGATGTAGTCCAAATCTGGCACGTATTTATATCAGTCTTATTTGATATACCAATTGGTCAATATTGGCCAACTGCTTCGGAACCTCCACCATAAATGGTCAACAGTTTGAATAATCATCTTCAGAATAACGTTTGTTTTACCTTGAAACCGTGTATGTACTTCCCTTTAGCATTCATTATTCCATTCTCTATGTCAATACCCATTTACATGATGTCTTAGTAAAAGGTTTGATTTTTATGCTGAAATTCATTATTTTTCCAATACAATTAGCAGTTAGTCGCAATTGTGTTGTGCTAAAAATTCTGAAGAGTAACATAAAAAATTGATTACACCCTCAATTACTGATAAATGATAAAATAACAATTTAATTCTTTTTTAAGTATTTGTTTAAACTAACGAAACATATATTTCTCATTTCCAGGATCTCTGTGATAATGATGATGATGAGGAGGAGGTAGATAACGTTAAATTAGCTGTTCAAGAATTCTCATCTTTGGATATCATGGATTTTGTACAACTATTTGCCGCCGTTCAATTGGAGCTGGCAAAAACCTCAACCACTGCGTCGAAAGTTAAACATGAGGAACAAATAATTGTGGATAGTGTAGATTTAACTGTGGCAGAAAATGAACTCGATAGTGAGGACCAATTGAGAACCTTGTTTGAAAAACAAGACAAATGGTTGGACAAAATGAAGACAATTACAAGACAGTACCTTTCAATAAAAGAAAAACAACAGCTACAACAACAACAGAAAACCAAAGAAAATTCTTCTAGTATTATAAGTTTGGATAGTGATTCTGGAGAAGAATATAAGCTAGATGGAAAACAAAAGACTAGAAGTAATAACTTACAGGCAGACAATAAAGATTTATTTGATGACAATTATCCTGAAACTGTAACGCCACTTGATCACAATTCGGAAAGTTGTGAAAATGAAGAAACGCATATAATTACCAAATCAATTCCCAGCTTTGTGGCTGCCGATAATAATAGTCTACGTACCTATGTGGCAAAGAAGAATGGTAGTTCTTCACTGTCATCAGCTGATGAATCCTGTAGCCGTTCTATACACAAGAGAACAAGTGCGGCTAATAAACTGGTCCAACGTCGGAATAGTATACATATAACTGCAACATCGAAATCTCCACCTCCTTCATCACCACCACCACTACCTGCCAATGCGGAAAGTGAAGATGAAAGCACATCGGATGACGTCGAATATTACAGTAATTTATTTTACTCATCTTCGCCGCAGAGGAATATGAATTCTAGAGGACCGGGAGTGCCATTTGATCGTTTAAATTCCACTTTTGGATCTGGTGGAAGGGTGGTATTTTCGCAAGCCATGCCCGCCCGCAATGGATCCTCGCTTTCAAGAAATGATGAAACGGTACGGATAAGGCTTCTTGATATAATTTCATTGTGTATATTTTATTGGTTTGCTATTTTTTTTTCCTTTTTAGAATCTCTCAACAAAGTCCGAACCGCATAGAACTAAAAAAGTTCATTTCGATAGCAGTCCCATGGGTCCAACGGCATCATATTCCAAACAGAAATCAATGAATAATCATATTCCACATGCTCAAACAAACACCAATGATGATGAAGATGATGATGGTGAATATTTTGTACCATTTTGGCAGAGATCATCATTTCAATGTTCCTCCTCCAGATTGAATAGCTTAAATATGTCACCAGCAATGGCTAGACAACAGCAACAAGGTACAACGATTTTTAATACAACATCCAGTAGATTATAAAAGTAGAGCTAAAATAAAGAAACGCGTTTGGAAATTGTACGTCGCAAAGTAAACAAAATAGAGGGGACAAGTTCCTACCTCTTCCACACTTTTGGAAATTTTCGGATTAAGATTCCTCGGAGTCCGTTCATTTTAGGTATATAGTGTCTTTTTGTGTTGATGGAAACATTGAGAGCTTATTTCGGACTTTATGATCGTTTTGGTTATTCAAAATTTTAACCATTTTTGGGGGATGTAGCAAAAATAATGGTCCAATTTCTACCATCTTTAAAACAGATCTTGTGTTGATGGAAATATTGGTACCAGAAGTGGTGGACCAATATATTCCATCTTCCTTGGGTTAGTAAAAATATTGTGATGCGTGTAATTTGAAGTGAACCAGGCGCTTACTTCGGATTTTGTGATCGTTTTGGTTATTCAAAATTTAGACCCTTTTTTGGGGGAGGTACCAGAAGGAATGGTCCAATCTCTACCATCTTTATATCAGCTCTTATGTTGAATGAAAAATTTAGATGTATCAAGTCTGAAAGGAATCGGACGTTATTTTCGATATTTATGAGCTTCATGGATACTCAAAATGTTAACACTTTGTGGGGGAGGTAACAGAAGGATTGAACCGATATATTCCATCTTCACACCAGACCTTGGGCTAAATAAAGTACTGTGAAGTGTGTAATTTGAGGAGAACCAGATGCTTATTTCGGATTTTTGATCGTTTTGGTTATTCAAAATTTTGACCCTTTGTGGGGGAGGTACCAGAAGGAATGGTCCAATCTCTACCATCTTTATAAAGAACTTGTGTTGATGGAAATAATGAGACATACCAAGTCTGAATGCAATCGTATGTTAATTTTACGTTTTATGAGCTTTATGAATGTTAAAAATGTTTAACATTTGTGGGGGAGGTACCAGAAGGAGTGGACCGATATTTTCCATCTTCACACCCGACCTTGGGTAAATAAAAATATTTTGATGTGTATAATTAGAGGACAATCGGATGCTTACATCACATTTTATAAGAGTTATAATTATTCAACATTTTGACCCTTTGTGGGAAGGTACTTGATGGAGTGGACCGATTTTGTCCATCTTTGCACCTTACCTAGCACTGGCGCAAATATTAGGATTTGCATTGGAGCAAAATCGGATTATAGCTTCTCTTTCTGTGCAGTAAATTGTTTTCTTTGAAAATATTGAAATTTTGTGGGGAGGTGCCAGACGGAGTGAGCCGGTATTGCCCATTTCCGGACTCGATCAAAGTTTGACAATGATATTACAATGTACCAAGTTTGGATCAAACTCAGGAGATATCGTGCACACTCCAAATGTCCTGAAACGGATTTGGTCCAAAGAGACCTAGGGTCTAAACCGTTATTTCGATTAGGCATAATAAATGGGTATAATAAATTATCGTACCTCAGATAATTCTTTAGAAAATATACTTAGATCCCTAATAGAATTCTTAAAAAATCCAAAAGTGTTTAAAATCCATAATTGTAGATTAAGTGTGTGTATTTCACATAAAATCCTTGAAAAGTCACCCTGGAAGACGTGATAGCCCTCGAGAAAATATTCTTAAAAATACCAAATTGTGGCTTAGATAGTCTTCTTTAACGTTTTCCTAATAAATATGCGACTATGACTCGGTCTTCGATTAATTTGGAAAAAAAATAGTAGAATTAATTTTGTGTATTTTACTCTCTTCCCCAGACCATAGAACTGGACCCAACTCGTTATACGGCAATATTTTTGAACGACGTCCATCAATATCCAATCGAATGTCGGGCATTGGATCTCATGCTTATTCAACGATGCCATTTAATTTCACAACTGGGAAACGAACTCTGCCCCCATCACGTCTTGCCACAGAAGGCCATCGTTGCAAAAAGAGATTGAATCGCCTTAAGTTACGACGTTCCACAATTTCCGATCATGCCGAATTCAATAGATATCTGGCAGCACAAATTCAAAATGAATCAACAAACCCACCACGCCAACATTTAGCGGAAGACAACACATGGGACGAAGGATCGTATCAACGTTTTCTCAGAAATGAAATCAGCGACCATTTAGATGTTGCCTCGACGGGAACATTTAATGGCGCCTGGTACGATGATAAATTGACAAATCATTACGGAGTGGGGGTGAAGAGCCACGAAGAAATGTTGGAATTAGAACGCCAACGTAATATTATGTACAATGAGATATTACAGAAACAACGAAGAAAATTGGAGCTGAAAGCTTTGGAAAAAATGAAAGAGAAACAGCGACGCAAACAGGAGAAACAACAAAAACGTGAACAATTCCAAATGGAGCAGAGTGAAACAATGAAACAGTTGGAACGTATGAACTTAAGGGGAAATGTAACGGACTTTGAAGAGGAAAAGGAAGAGACAGAGCCATCGAAACACAAACAAACGAGAAGTGTGGAAACTTCAAATAAATTTATCAGCAAGGGTCAGCTAAAAGAATTTCCACCCGCAATGCCTAGTTCACCAAAAAGGGGTCTATTTAACATAACAGCAAAGCCAGATAATGAAGTCCAACATGAACCAGAACTTCAAACGATGAAGGCAAATAAACCAACATTTGTAGTACCTGAAAGTCCTACAAAATCGGCAGTTAATTCATATTTACACAGCACGTCTGAAAATGAAAAAGAATCCTCGGACTTGGATCAAGTTCCTTTAGCACAAAGGAAAACTAGAAATCGTAAACCAACAAAGTCTCTGTCTCCGGAGAAGGTCGCTAACAAAAGACCAACAACTAATACAAGATCTACGCGCCAAAGAAGACATACGTTATGCAATGCCAACAACAATGATTTAGATCAAACCACTGATTCTGAATTTGAAGCCAAGAGGAGGCCAGTACGAGAGAGACGCAAAACCATTACCTGCCAGCCAGCCTTAAAACGTAGAACAAGAAATTCTGAACAAACAACTGATTCGGAAATGGATGCAAAGCAAACCACTTCGTTAAGACATTCGGCACGTTTAGCTCAGAGTCTAACGAAATGTCCCAAGCAATCCGATTCGGATTCAGTGGCTGATGTTCAGGGTTTTTCTGATTCGATAAAAATGTCAGCTCCAACTGAAACTGGATTGAAAAGAAAGACAAAAAAATCATCCAATGCTACAAAAAAGAAACCCATAGTTAAAGATCTGGTCGAGAATGCTGTGCTCCAAACCGATAAAATCGTCGAGCAAATATCCCCACAAATGTCTGAGGAAAATATTGTGGCAGTTATTGCTCAACGTTTATCTTCTCCCGACACCACAACCATTTTGAACAATCCTATCGAAACGACAGAACATGAGGAGATTTTGGAAACATTGGAGGATATGTTGGCCAAAGAACAAGCAACCAAAACTCAAGAACCAGAAAGCATTACGAAAAATGATAACCATAACAACCCTCAAATGGGAGCATCCGATATGCATAGTGTGATTGAAAACACTGTAATCAATGAAATACAACGTGAAATGGATGGCCAAAAGAGCCCCGAGAAGGACGATCCTCAGAAAACTCAATGGAATATTCGAAAAAATACAATTTTGAATTTTGAGGATAGTCCGGAGAATACAATAGACAATAACGATCGGCGTAGTGACCAATATAATTCCCCTCTAATTATAAGTAAGGTGCAATCATATGCCTCGGTTCAGGATTTTGAACTATCCCTGGAGAGACCACAAACTTCAGCCGCCAACAAAGTCATTGTTACGGAAAACATAGTTTTAAGGCCACAATTATCAAATGAAACAGAATCTTCGCCTTCGCTAAACATGCCTATGAATGATTTAATATTAAATCTAAATGATATTCCTCTGTTGCCAATGGACACTACAAATGGAATAACATCTGGTGAAGATAATCAAAATACCACAAAGGAAAAGGAGTATTTATCTCAGTCGACAGAAAACAGCTCGGGCCAGGAGATGGATTCATTAGAGAACAACGAGAAATTAGGGGTATCTCTGCCATACGATTCAATTACAAAGCCATGTCATGTGCTTTTAAAACGCCTCGAAATCGATGAGTACATCAATGCAAAACATAATCTCGAGGACAAAGAATATCCACCACCAGCAGAACAGGCGCAATGCGAGGAACAGCAAAAAACAAATAATGGAAATGACACCAACCCAGAAACTCTCTACCATCCGTCGCATAAATCAAATCTGCTCTTGGAGCAATTTAATAATGCAAACAGAGCGACAACATGGTCTCCAACCGAGTTGGTTGACCCAAATGCTGTAGATGATTCTGAAGATGAAAATCATTACTACCATCGCAAAGACAATTATATTTTGGAGGAGGATAGATCTACGACTTGGTCACCAACAGTAATGGTAGATACCGTTCCTGCCCCAAATGATGATAGCCATGGAAATAAAATGCTGAAATCTTGCCTGTCAACGGGAAAATCGCAAAATGGCATCTCCAAAACTCTTACCTTTAATTCAATGGTTGAAGTTATAAGTGTCTCGCCCTGCAGTAGTGAGTCGTATATGACATCACTTGATTCCAATTCATCTTTATTGCAAAGAACTGGGGTGCTAACAAATGATAGTCACGTTCAACGGAATCAATGTATATCTCCCATTGATAGTTTTCTGGAAGCTAACACTTCCAGTTCCAATATTTTGGATTCTAATGGGGAAACTAATAACTTAGAGAAATCACCACAAGATGACACGACAAGTGGCAAATATGTTCCTGTAAATGACTCGAACAGTAACCAGCTGTCCCCTGCTAATTCAAGTCCTGGATATCCCACCCCTTCATTGGAATGTCAACGTCCTGTTGGACAAGAACATGAGGTTGAAACATCAAAACAGATGGCAATGGAATATCATCGTCATGTTGGACAAGAAATTGAGATTCAAACATCAAATCGTATGACCAACAGCAACGAAACAAATTCGAATGAGATACCATCGAATAATTCGCCAATACCAGTTTACCTTTTTAGCCACGAAGAAATGATACAATTCACATCCGCGGACTCATTATATGTCTCTTCATCATGCGCCCCAGTAAATCCTGCTGATAAAAATAATCTCCCTACAAATCCAATGATGTCACCCTCCGAACAAGAAGTATCCTCTTCACAGGACCGGACACCAATAAATGATACTCGCAAAACTGGTCAAGACAAGGCCGATTCAAGTGGAGTCTTACAAAATAATCAAGTTGATACGACAAATAATTTACCCGAGCTAAATCCAGCACCAACTTTAGATAGCTATATTGCCTCGTCCACAATTGATATTGCAGCCCTGGCAGTTAAGGACAAAGAAAAACTGAAATCGCCCATAAACTCAAAGAAGTCAAAAGAACTGAATCCTAAAGAAATTTCTCAAAAACCCATTTCCGCTGATGTTGTCGCCAATGACAAAAACCACGCCAAGGAGAGTAAATTTAAAATTCCCAAAATAAAACGAGATTTCAATGAAAGATCACACCTTGCTATAACACTAAAGGAAGCGGTCAAGTCACCGACATCAAAGGTCGTACGAAATCCTTTTGTAACTAGATCCACCTCAAGTAATGGTGACGAGAAAACTAAATTGGAAACCACAACCAATATGAATTTAGGATCCAAGCCAAGTGAAGAAAATCCTTCATTGACAAGAAGAACAGAAAACAATCAGAAACGAGAACGTTCTGGCACGTCTAGTGATACAGAACAAAAGAAAGTGAAAAGTGATACTTCCAGTGATAATGAACTTAAAAGACCAAAAAGAAAATTTGCCGAAGATACTTCGAAATCAGATGATGAAGCCAGTAAAAGGGAACGATCGGCTACACCTAGTGATAGTGAGCTTAAAAGGCCAAGAAGAAAAGTTGCGGAAGATTCTATGAAATCAGACGAGAAAAAACCGGAAAGGGGACATTGCACCACATCTAGTGAACAAAATAAACTTCACACAAATAGAAAAACCAGTAAAAGAGAACGATCGGCCACGCCCAGTGATAATGAGCTTAAAAGGCCAAAGAGAAAAACTACGGAAGATGATGCCATAATAAAATCAGACGATGATAAAAAACTCCTCCATACAAATGTAAAAGCCAACAAAAGAGACCGATCAGCCACACCCAGCGATAATGAGCTTAAAAGATCCAAAAGGAAAATTGAAGAAGAAACCCAAAAATCGAATGATAAAACCCAGAAACCTGAAAAATCAGATACACCCAGTGATGATGACCTTAAGAGGTCAAATGCCTTAACATCGGAGGATAAACCAAAGGACAAATCCTCCTTGGTTAGCAAAACAAGTCATAAAATAGATGAAAATAAATGCAAAGATTCCAAATCAAAGACAACTAAAACTGAGCAAACCCGTTCCAAAGAGAGGAATAAAAACTCGGAACAAAAAATCTCCAAAACGAAAAAGTCAGCGAAAAATGAAAAACCTAGTTCTTCGTTATCGGCAAACGAGGCCAGCAAAAAATTCGAAAGTGCTTTAGCACTACCAACCATAAACACAGAAAACCATAAAATGGCAACTGAGCTAACAACAATACCCAGTCTAAGTTTTTATACCAAAACTGAAAAGAAGGAATCCAATAAAAACAACGAAGAAAAAGTTAAACATTCAAAGTCATTCAGGAGTGAACATAAAAATACAACCAAAAAGAGTCATCCCAAACAAAGTTCCATTCAACATGATACTGAAAATGAAAAAACTATATTAACTGAGCGAGAATTGAGAACTGCCTCTCCTTTGCTTCTTCACACCAGTGTAGTTGAGGCCGATGGTCGCGTACGAAAAAAACATAAAACTAAATAATGTTTAAGGTACAACGCCGTGGTACGTCTACAAATGATACGCAATGTCACAAAATCTCTTATGTTTAAATGATACAAACTGACTGAGTGCAACAAAAATATTCAGGCTTTAAATAAATACTACTACTACTATTACCAACTTTATATATACATTTAAATATGTAAATACTCAAGTAAATATAGTTCTAGTTTTAAAAATTTGTACAAATGTATAATTTATTGTTCTAATACATGTTAACAATATTTTTTTGTTTTTAATTTTCTTTCAATTCAATTTCGTAAACCACTGAAATCTGTGTCATTTTTTGTTTTTAAAATGAAAATTGGTATCTCCAATGTTAATTTGATATTTTCATATTTTTTGTTGTTTTTTTTTTTTTTTTTTGTTATTTATCCGATTTTAGAATTCTCAAATCCTTTCATATTCTTTTTGTACACAAATAACTTGTAAACTTTAATAAATTTAATTTTTCAAAAACATCTGTTTTAGTTTTGCAATTCCAATTGGGAAAGACTTACTTATTTTGTGATGAAGGTTTTTTCTGGCGAAGAATGACAAATTCATACTCTTAATTGGTTAAAAAAATTACGAGAAGATTTAAATACAAATTCAAACCAAGTTTACTAAAATTAGAACAACAGTTTGTTTGTACTTTTGATGATTTGGTAAGTACTCATTTCCTATAATATATCCATGCTAAAAAAGGAGGTAGGGATTCTGTTTAATAAATATATAATATATAAATGTTGTCGTCGTCGCAAAATGTAATCGAGACGACAATAACTGTATTAGAGTTGTCGTTTTTTGTCAAAAGCGATGAATGATTGCTATTATCATTGTCGATATAATAGTCGACGTGAAGTCGTTTTTAAAGAATATCTGTCGCCCACATAGTTTGCATTTGTCTAGGATGATTGGTATTGAAAATCAACTATTTAAGCCAACCTTTCTAAAAGATTTATCTGAAATTTTGGTATTTGTAGTTCGCAATGGGTTCTAGCTTTGATGGTCGAACATTGTCTATGTATGTTCACGTTTGCCTATAGCCCTCATATAACGGTTCCTCCCGATATTTGGAATTCTGATTATTTTTGTAATAGTTTCAAATTTGCCATTTAATACTCGAATTCACTTTAGTGGCTAATGGTCCATGTAGGTTTACGTTGTTGTATAGTACCCATATGATGTTACCGTCTTCTTTATGGTATTTAGAAAACTTTAACTGCCTTCTCCAATCTATCTCAGTTTAAATGGAACACGTTCGAATACCGAATCCATTTACATTTATTTATAAAGGGTTTCTTTGAATTATGGTGGAGGTTAAGTCCTCCTATTCAATGTTTCAAACTTGGTTAACGTTCTCAAACAGTATGGAGAGTTTGACAGCACTAAATGTCTTGAATAAGCCCATTAAATGTATCTCTTCAGGTTTTTCTATAGTTGTGGTGACTAGCGTCACAGTGAAGACGTTGCTCAAGTTCACGACTCCCAGCTGATATCTCAATGCTACATAATATTTTTTAATTCTCTGAAGTCTTGGAATTTTGTACAATCAAGTTTTTGTGTTTTTGTTGGAAGATTGTCTAAAGCTGGGGAAATGAACTTTTGGCTCAGTGGTTTTGCTCGTCGAACTGGAAACAACTTTAGTTTAGTAATAACTCTCTTTTTTTGTTTCCGGGAAAGTATTTTTCTTTGGGGACGTTCCTGGGTACCCGAATATTTTAACCAGAAGTCCGGGTTCAAGACCTGAATCTACTTGCCCTAAATATACAATAAAGGTATCCGGTATGCTCCGGAAAAGTTTACTTTAGTTACGATACTGAATACTGCAGACTCTGTCAGGACGAGGAAGAAACCGGGTAGGTGGAGCACTGACTCTGCCACTGTCCAACTGTTTATAGAGTCAGACAGAGGCTACTGGGTAAACAAATTCTGAAGCCGAGCCAGCAGTGATGCTTCAATTAGCCAGAAGATTTAAATGTCTAAAGATAACACGCTGATCACAACGTGGATACAATTTCATCCTCTTCGCTTCTTCCTCTATTCTTTCTAACTTTCCCTTCTGTCTTATTTTCTTTTTACATTGGACTTCTTCATCTCTAAATAGGATGAACACAATGGGCCAGTAGGTCTCCCAGTGGAGTGGTTGGTTTTAGACATCCACGCATCCTTTAACCTAACCTAACCTTGCTCAGGTACAGAGATCCATTTTTATACCCTCATTCTGTTTGAAAATATTCGTCGTAGACCCCATAAAGTCTTTCTGTTCAAATCACGATACAGCCCACATTATTTGAATTTGGCACAACAATTTGTATTGTGTCTAGGATGGTTGGTATTGAAAATGAGATATATCGGTCGGTATAGCCGCCAAATAACGATACCTTCCGATATTCAGTATTTTGATTATTTTTGCCACATATTTTCACGGATTTGTCTAAAAATTGGTATTTGTATTTCATAATGGGTTTTAGCTCCGGTGGCAGAACATTGAATATTAATTTTCGCAATTTCAAATAAAAAACCTGTTGCATTTGCTAATTGTGAATTTGAAGTTAAGAGTCTAGCTTCAGGGTTGTGTTTTTTTAATTTATTCAACCTGCCCTAACTTGCAATTATTGTACCATTAATACAGAACTTTAAATTTTTTTTTTTTTTAGAACTTTAAATTTTATTTAATTTAAAGAATAAAATTTCGTATCGTCACACAGAAATATCATAAAACTTTAATTGCGTTACGATGTTCCTTGTTCACTAACTGAGCGCTTTGAACGAATTGTTCATATGAGACAAAGTGAACTAGCCCACATAGGCTCCTGTATTGAATACTTCAGCTGTTCCAGAACTAGACTCCAGCAAAGATGTTGGATAAAGTAAAACATGTAATATTGGTTCTTTCGGGAAAGGGTGGCGTCGGCAAGTCCACCGTCAGCACACAGTTGGCATTGGCCTTAAGAGAAGCTGGCCTAAAGGTATGTTGGCAAATATGATTTCGTCAAGTGCCGCCTTACACGGAAACAAAACAAAATATTGGCACTCATGTCTTGCATTTCCAGTAATCAATTTCACTATCAACAGGTTGGCCTATTGGACATTGATCTGTGCGGTCCCTCAGTTCCATATCTCTTGGGCCTGGAAGGTCGTGATATCTATCAATGTGACGAGGGTTGGGTGCCAATTTACACGGATGACAGCAAGAGCTTAGCTGTCATGTCCATTGGTTTCTTGTTGAAAAATCGCAATGATCCGGTCATTTGGCGGGGACCCAAAAAGACAATGATGATCAAACAATTCCTTACCGATGTAAAATGGGATGAGTTGGACTATTTAATCATTGACACACCACCTGGCACTTCGGATGAACATATCACCGTTATGGAATGTATGCGTGAAGTTCGTTGCGATGGAGCGATAATTGTTACCACACCCCAGGGTGTTGCGTTAGACGATGTTCGCAAAGAGATAACCTTCTGTAAAAAGACTGGCATAGCTATATTGGGAATTGTTGAAAATATGAGTGGTTTTGTCTGTCCCCACTGCACAAATTGTACGAATATTTTCTCATCAGAAGGTGGAGTTGAATTGGCCAAAATGTCAGGTGTTCCACATCTGGGCACAGTGCCAATAGATCCGCGCGTCAGTGTTCTAAATGGTACGACACGTTCGGTGCTAACAGAGCTACCCGATTCTGGAACGGCAGCGACATTTAAACAATTGGTTGAGAAAATAACTGCATAGTAATTCTGTGATTGGCATATATTTTTGTACATAAAAGGTTCATTGTTTTAACATAAAATATTCCTATTTTCTATCAATTTACCCGTTTGGATTAGGAAAATACATACATTTCCGGAAAGCCAACGAAAATTCAAATAAAAATTTTGTGATAATTCCATTGAAAAATTTGCCAAAAGTCGTCGAAATACCGTTTATCGAGAGGTACCATACACGAAGAGTTTCTCCTTGTGCTTTATTAATTGTCTTAGCAAATTCCAAGCCTACAGGAAGCTGCATTCTTTTAAAGTTGAACGGCCTTTCAGTTGCTATTAAAGGAATTTGAGGTAACCATACTGCTGAACCTACAACGTAATAATCATAGCTTAAATTAAATTCTACACAATTTAATTTAGACTTTTTCACTGTTAGTCTAATACTATTGAATAGGCGTGGTGGGTATATGTTTCTAATATCAAAAACTGAAACGATTTCAACATAATTTGACAAAATTCAGTTTTACACCAAATTCCGACGCACATTCCCAACTTCATTGAAATTTGACATAAATCAACAAAATTAAACGTCATAATTTTCACATATTTTTTTTTTTTTTAATTTTATTGAATGAAAGCAAAAAAGGTCGGAATAGCATCAAATAAGTTTAGATTTCTTCGAATTGGTCACCTTTGGCACGAATTACTGCCTTCAAACGGGCAATGAAATCGTTACGCACTGTCCGAATGTTGCTCTGCGGTATTTTGGACCATTCCCGGCGAAGCGCTTGCTTGGGGTGTTCGACACTTTGGTATTTTTTAGTGCCAACCTTGCTTTCCACAATACTCCAGACACAAGAGTCCAACGGATTGGCATCCGGAGATTTTGGTGGCCATTTTGCGCTGGAAATGAAGCGGAAATCCTCATTTTGTAGCCATTATTGGATGGAATGTCCAAGGTCTGCGGCCAAAATGTTTGCGTGCCCAAGGCTTTAATACACCCTCCAGAATATTTTAGCGATAATATTTGGCATTTATTTTCGCGATAATATTCACCATGGCCGGCGCTGGAGTTCTGTTGGCCAATCGAAGGTGCACATTTTCTGACCTGACCTCTTTGGCAAGTAAACACGATCATTTTGTTTGTTTAAAAACTGATGGACAACGAATGTTTTCACATCACCACTTTCGGCCAAGCGAAGCAACTCTTTAGCTCTTTTGAGTCTATTTTCTTTCTGTTGCGGTGTAAGTTCTTGCACTTTTTGGAATTTCAATAGCTTTACCCCGAGCTCATGGAATATTGCAATATGTTTAGCTCATGAGCCATTTTTCGGCCACTGCGACGCGGGTTCTTCTTTACTTTTCGAACCTTTTCGGGCTACGCTACCAATATCACGGTAACGAGCGATGGTACGAGACACAAAAGATTTGTTCAGATTTAAATGCTGGAGAGCTCTAACGATAGCCACTTGTGGTTTTCCAGCCAAATATAAAGAAATCACACTATCACGTTTGAATTCCATCACAAATAACTATTTTTCGGGAAAATTCTCACCAAAATGGTTTTGAACGCTTTTAAACAATATAATGAGCTGTCACTGGAATATTTTTAACAGCTGTCGAACGAGTGGCTTAGATACGACAGCAGTCTGAATTTGGTTGCAGTTTTTTCATCTCACCCTGTATAAGAGTTGCAGATACTGTATATAGGAGCTATATTCAAATCTGAACCGATTTCAATATTCGTAATTTGTAGACCGAATTCAGTCACATAATCTCAATTTCATTGAAATTCGGCATACATATAGTTTTTGGTGCATCAAATATTTGAAAACGGTCGAAAATATATATGAGAGCTATACTAAAATCCGAACCAATTTCAAGATCACTTGTCAAATTTATTTTTGTACCGAATTCCCTTACTCATTTCGAGTTTCATTGGAATCGGACATTCATATGGTGTTAGGTGCATCAAATATGTGAAATCGGCCGGTAATATATATTGGAGTTTTATCAAAAACTGAAACGATTTTAATATAATTTTGCAAATTTTATTTTTTTACCAAATTCAGTCACAATTTACATTTTTGGAGGTACCTCCGATTCTGATGCTAAAGTTATAGTTTCACGTGGAATTCCAAAAATTAATATAGCCTATGTTACTTTTAAGCAATGGTGTAGTATATTTAGGAATTTTCCGAAAAATCTAGCGGTTTTTGAGCCTAAAAATTACAAACAAATAATCAAACAACAACAGCAACAATTTTCTTTTTCGGTTATCAGCTTATCAATGAATCATATGTTTATTAATTATTTAAAATTTTGGAACAGTGTGGCTTGTTTTGGTAATGTTTACCAGGGGGTAAGGAAGTAATAAACAAACGTTGTTTTTATAAAAACAACAAAAAAGGGATAAAGCCTGACCATTTTGCGTTTAAAATTTTGTCTTTTTTGGCATTCAAAACTAATGAGATATGAGAGAGAATTTTTGTCCATACTTTTATGTGTCCATGATAGAACTTCCACCTGTTAAATATATGCTCATCTGACATTAATATATGTTCTGATATGTTCTTCATTTTTAAAAATCTGTAATGGAGACGTCTTAGTTCTTTCAATGACCTATTTCAGAGGGAAAAATTCATCGAATTAAACTTCCTATGGAGTTAATTTTTACCGGAAGGTCTTTTCTTCCTTATTGGATGAATTTGAAATGAAGATTTGCTTTTTAATTTTACTGAATTTTCTAGACAACCGCAAAAAAAGGTTCGAGAATTCAATTACTGCCCTTTACTCATTTTTGTTTTCCAAAATATTCCCCACATAAAAGTAAAAACACAATGTAAGGTTTAGTTTTTAAATAGCATTGCTATTATTATGTTTGTTTTTGTATTTAAACTGTTTTTTTTAACATCTTGTTGTTTTACTTAACATCTAAATACAACAGTCTTTCCATAACCATAAAATAGTAGAATATAAAAACAATGCTTTAAACTAAAAAAATAAACCAGAGTTTAAAAAATATAAATCAATGCAATTACAAAAGTATACAGATTAAATATAATGTTGGATAATATTTAAACCCCGCAAATGATGTTGATAGGAGCCATTAATAACCTCCGATTGGCTCATCATTTGCGAGGTTTTTTTTTTTTTTTGTTTTGAATAATTTATTTATGCTGTTACTTTATCCTGAAATGCCTTAATTTATAAAAAAAATAACTCCAGTTGTTGTATATTGGTGATATGGATTAAGGTAGCCAGTTGCTAAATTGGAGGTTAGTTGCTAGCCCGATGTTGCGATGCACTTAATCCGAAGAAAAATTTGTGTGGTTGGCGTGTCTTTTCAACAAATTGTAAGATCTTTACTAAAGTCTTAATGCAATTTGGGTTGACGTGCCAATTGTACGAATGGCGACAGCGTAGCCATTGTTGTACAATATTTAACGTTAATTGTTGTTCGTTTGTAAAAAGTTTTTTTTCGCCAATGCGAAAAAAGGTTTTTGCCACTTCAAATCATTAAGAAAAATTTCATCCACTTTTCACCACAAAGTCCTTAGGTAATTCTTTTAAAAGTTGGTGCAATTCCCTCCATAGTCAACCTAACAAATCCCTCCCGTGAGAGAAGAATTTGTTAGGTTAAAAATTTCAAGAATAGACCGCCTAATAAAAGAGAAAACTTCATTTCTTTGAGGCAAAAATACCAGAATATTTCCAAAATGTTTTAAAGCAACGGGGGTTTTTGTTGCATTCAAAAGATATTTGAGTTGTGGTGGAGAAATAAATTTCCACATTAGAAAATTGTCATACATTACAAAGGAAAAAATTCTTCAATTCCAAATTTCTACCCCCTAGAAGGAGGATAAAAATTGAAATCTTAATTTCTTCTTTTCGAAATGTTAGATAATTTCAAAATGTTACTATTTAAAACTCCAGTCCAACTCTCGTAAGCCCCTGAGTACAACGGGTGGGTAGTTTAATAGACTTTATAGTTAATAACTTAATTTTCGCAACTATATCCAAACTATTCTCAAGCCTCGCCTTTGTAAAGGCCAACAGCTAAGGAATTTCTTCCTTAACTGTTAAGCCTTCACAATCGGCAGCTTGAAATAGCTTTAATAAAGTTCAAAAACAAATGCTTATTAATAAAGCCCACAAAATACCCGGCAATGCGTTTCATAAATGAATAATAATTCATTGAATGTTGTGCAATAATAGATTAAAAATCTATTTTTCTGTTCGATGAGGTCCAGGCGTTCATAGCCTGTAAAGCCGGTTTGTAGAAACACAGCGTGTTGGAGGAAGGCAACTTAAAATTAGCCTTAACCTAGTAATGGTGCAGGTGAACTCCCAGTTTAGATACCTAAAATCGGCCCTAACAAATCAATTTGATTTAAGAGTTCAAAGAGTGCTCTCAATTCTATATAATTGAGAGCCCTCAATGTCCAATAAAACCAATGAGATATGTTAAGGGAATTTTAAATATATAAACCAAGAGAAACCTATTAATGTGTTTGTGTGAAATGAAGAGGCAGCCATAACTCGTTTGGGAGAGGAACAACGAATTATAACTGCTCTTTAGAAAATGTGATGTCACTACCAACTCTCTTGGAAATTAATTATAGATTAGTTACTTTTTAAATATTGTAGAGTTTTTCCATTCTGGTGTATGACATCACTGGTATTGTGTTTGTTGTTGTTTTAGTTGTCTTCAGCCGATTTTCGTTTACGACACTGCTCCGTGGTATGGCCACGGAAATTGCAATACGTACAACGTTTTGTGCCCTTGGAGCCACGTACTGGTCCCGTTTGTTCAGCTTCATCTTCCATCATATTATGTTCAATGATGCGACCCTTCTCCAAAAGCTCACGGAACGTTTTGATGTCATGGCGAGCAATATGCTTGCGGTATTTGATATTCAAGAGACCATATACCAAATCGATTTCAGTCTCCTCGTCATGTCTACCATCAGGCAATTGAGCCAACAGGGCCCTTTTCTGGCACACGAAAGTATCAATGGCAACAGAATCCTCTTGTTTCTTTTCGAAGATTTCCATGT